CAGTTCCTGGTGGAAGGACGGTCAGCTGCAATCCACTTCCCCTGAGCCTAGGGTGTCATGGACCCGCCCCTTAGGGGAGATGTAACCATGAGGCCTGGGGCTCCGAGTACTCCTGAATTATGCCAGTAGATGAGCGCTAGGTTCAGGAGAGCAGCAGTTCATGGACCCACCCCTTGGGGACGTAACCATACTGCTTGGGGCTCAGAGTACTCCTGGACTATGTCTGGACACTAGGTTCAGGAGAGCAGCAGTTCATGGACCCGCCCCTTGGGGACTTAACCATACTGCTTGGGGCTCAGAGTGCTCCTGGACCATGCCCATACATGAACACTGCTAGGATCAGGAGGAAGGACCGCCCACTGTTAGTGACGTCATCAGACTTGCCAGACTACTGCAGTATCAAAAGTATGTATTAAAAATAAATGGAGGGGAGGGAACTTACCTCCTCGGAGAAGATCCTGTATGAAGTCTCCAACATTCAGAGTTATGGGTGTGCAGCTAGAAGATCCCTGAGGTGTATGGAAAGTGTAGATCGGTGGTGGTCCGTACACAACCCTGGAGTGGGCACACATTGTAATGCTCACCATGGCAAGCATGCTGACCAATCAGAGGCGCTTCCTGCTTCCGGGCCACCTTACTGGAAGATGAAGCCTCGGACTTCTAGCTGCACCCACGCCCTCCGTTGTTGGAGGTTTCATACTGCGAGGAGGTCATTCCCTGTGTATTGGGGTGTACGGACCTCTACACTGGCAGCATTGGGGTACCACATCCGCTGTGTGCTGAGGGGTGTCCCAAGATATTTGGGGTCCAACTTTTTTTCATGTTTTTCTGAAACGTACCATTTTTTGAGGAGAGGTAGGCAACCTCCGTAGTGGTGAAACCTCAAATCCCATCATGGCTCTTAGAACGGGAGTCATGCCAGTGGCTTTCAGCCTTGCAATGCCTCATGGGACTTGAGCAGCTCTAGTGCTAAGGTTGCCTATCCTTGCTTTAGGGACCTTCATGATGAGGGCCATTGATGAGCACTGTCCACGTACCCAAGAACCCAACCTACCGAAGCTGGCCTCCTACCAGCCCTAGATTTATTTTGGAGGTCTCATTCAACCAACCATCACTCATCCATGTTCTTGTATCACCATGCCTCTTCTAACGGGAGTCATGCCGGTAGCTTTCAGCCTTGCAATGCCTCATGGGGACTTGAGCAGCTCTAGTGCTGAGGTTGCCTATCCTTGCTTTGGGGACCTTCATGATGAGGGCCATTGATGAGCACTGTCTGTCTGTCCCCGTACCCAACAACCCAACCTACCAAAGCTGGCCTAATACCGGCCCTAGATTTATTTTGGAGGCCTCATCCAACCAACCAACCATCACTCATCCATGTTCTTGTACCAGTTCTATTTCTGGTTCTATTTTCTACACGAAGGGAATCTCATGTCCCCCATTCCTCATTTTTTCTTCAAGAAGGGAATTTACCTCCACATTACACAACCTCTCTACCCATCGTTCATTCAAGCCGTCCTCAATCCATCTCCAAGTGTCCCTAGATATCCATTGACCCCGCCCTAGCAAGGATGGAAACGTCCATTGACCCTGCCCAAACAAGGATGGAAATGTCCATTGACCCCGCTCTAACAAGGATGGAAATGTCCATTGACCCCGCTCTAACAAGGATGGAAATGTCCATTGACCCCGCCTAACAAGGATGGAAATGTCAATCGACCCCGCTCTAACAAGGATGGAAATGTCCATTGACCCCGCCCTAACAAGGATGGAAATGTCCATTGACCCCGCCTCTAACAAGGATGGAAATGTCCATTGATCCCGCCCTAGCAAGGATGGAAATGTCCATTGACGCCCGCCCTAGCAAGGATGGAAATGTCCATTGACCTCGCCCTAACAAGGATGGAAATGTCCATTGACCCCGCTCCTAGCAAGGATGGAAATGTCCATTGACCTCGCCCTAGCAAGGATGGAAATGTCCATTGACCCCGCCCTAACAAGGATGGAAATGTCCATTGACCTCGCCCTAGCAAGGATGGAAATGTCCATTGACCCCGCTCTAACAAGGATGGAAATGTCCATTGACCCCGCCCTAACAAGGATGGAAATGTCCATTGACCCCGCCCTAGCAAGGATGGAAATGTCCATTGACCCCGCCCTAACAAAGATGGAAATGTCAATTGACCCCGCCCTAGCAAGGATGGAAATGTCCATTGACCCCGCCCAAACAAGGATGGAAATGTCCATTGACCCCACCCTAGCAAGGATGGAAATGTCTATTGACCCCGCCCTAACAAGGATGGAAATTGCCAAAACCAAATTTAATGGGTGAATATATAATATTCGATATATTTATATATTCTTTTGCAATCGGACGTTTCTATGTGACATAACATGGAGTTTGTCTTCTGTATAATTCAATAAAAAAAAAATTCTATTCTTAAATCAGGATTGTGAGTTGTCATTGTTGTCGGGGGCGTCGCTCGTGATTCTTCCAAGTCGTAGAACACAAGTCGCATTGTTCGGGTCGAATGCAAGACAAAGGATTGTCCGCAGCTAGAATGCCGACCTCCCACCACCGTATGGACCACCCCGGGGACCCTGTAGGTTCCCATGCTGAGCATCAAAAAAAATTGGAAACAGCTTCTCTATTGCTTGTAGAAGGGGTTTTTTTTGGGGGGGTGAGGGCCAGGGTTTGGGGCTTGCTTTTTTGGGGAGATTTTTTTTTTTTTTTGCAGTGTTTTTTTAGGTTTGGGTTTTCTTTGGGGGGGGGGGGGGTGGCTTTGGGGTTTTGTTTTTGTATTTTGGCTTTTTTAGGCCTTTTTGGTGTTTTTTTTTTGTTTTTTTTTTTTTTAGGTTTTGGAGCTTTAATCTTTTTAGTGTGCGTGATTCTTTAGGTTTAGATTGTTTTTCAGTTTTTTTTTTTTGTTTTTTTTAGGCTTTTTTTGGGTGTTTTTTTTTTTTTAATTTATTTTTTGGCTTTTTGTAGGCCTTTTTGGTGGTGTTTTTTATTTATTTTTGGGGGTTTGGTTTTTGGATGTATTTTAGTTTTTTTTAGGCTGCTTTTGTTTTTAGGGATTTTTTTTTAACCTTTTTTTTGGGAGGGGGGGATTCTTTAGGTTTGGATTTGTTTTCTGTTTTTTTTTTTTTTTTTTTTTTTTTTAGGCTTTTATTGGTGTTTTTTATTTATTTATTTTTTGGGGGAGTTTTGGTTTTATTCTAGGTTTTTTAGGCTGTTTTTTTTTGTTTTTAGTTTTTTTAACCTTTTCTTTGGGGGGGGGGATTGGGTTTTGGAGTTTGGGGTGTTTTTTTTTTGGGGGGGGGGATTTTTTTTTTTTTTTTTTTGGGGGGTTGTATATATATTTTTTGTTTTGTTTTTTTAGGCTTATTTTTTTTTGGGGGGGGAGGGGGGTTAGGTGTTTTTAATTTATTTTTTGGGGGTTTGCTTTTGGTTTTATTTTAGGTTTTTTTGGGCTGCTTTTTGTTTTTAAGGGTTTTTTTTTACCTTTTTTGTTGAGGGGGTGCAGGTTTGGGTTTTTTTTGGGTTAGGTTTTGGAGTTTGGGGGGGGGGGGGGGGGGGGGGGGGGGGGGGGGGGGGTTAGATTATTTTCTTTTGTAGATTTTTTTTTTTTTTTTTTTTTTTTTAAGTAACATACATGTAGCAGCAAAGAGGGTGGACACGCCCCCCTAATGCGCCCAATGGGCGGCAGAGCTTCCTGTGCTGAGAGCGCATTCGCTGCCCAAGAACTGTTTCTGCTGTAGACTGATAGCTGGTTTCACTGGTTCCCAATCGTGGTCACATGATTGGCTGATCCTTCCTGTCCCCGGCATGAAGACCCTAATAAAGGGACCGTGGGGGGGGGGGGGGGCGGGGGGGATAAAAATAGAAATAAAGACCAATCTCAATTGTTTTCACTTTGCATACAGTAAGGGAGGGTTATGACCCCTGTCAGTCCCCCCCCCCCCCCATCTGTGTCCTTTTGGGGAGACTTCCTTCAACTTCCTGTCACATAGCCGAAACAGGAAGTGAGAGGAAATCCCTCTAAACTGAGAACTAGCCCCCCCCCCCCCACTTCCCGCAATTAGCAGGTTTCCCCTCTATTACGTTGTGGTGACAACCCAAAATTTGGAATTTTCTTTTACTTTCAGGTTCGGTGATCAAAGCACAGGGATGGTGGGAACCCCTCATAATGGGCACAGCGGCGGTACAGACCTGGGAACTCGGCACAGGGATGGTGGGAACCCCTCATAATGGGCACAGCGGGTGTACAGACCCGGGAACTCGGCACAGGGATGGTGGGAACCCCTCATAATGGGCACAGCGGGTGTACAGACCCGGGAACTCAGCACAGGGATGGTGGGAACTCCTCATAATGGGCATAGAGGGTGTACAGACCCGGGAACTCGGCACAGGGATGGTGGGAACCCCTCAATGGGCACAGCGGGCGTACAGACCCGGGAACTCCTCACAGGGATGGTGGGAACCCCTCATAATGGGCACAGCGGGTGTACAGACCCGGGAATCCAGCACAGGGATGGTGGGAACCCCTCATAATGGGCACAGCGGGGCGTACAGACCCGGGAACTCAGCACAGGGATGGTGGGAACCCCTCATAATGGGCACGGCGGGCGTACAGACCCGGGAACTCAGCACAGGGATGGTGGGAACCCCTCATAATGGGCACAGCGGGCGTACGGACCCGGGAACTCAGCACAGGGATGGTGGGAACCCCTCATAATGGGCACAGGGGGTGTACAGACCCGGGAATGCAGCACAGGGATGGTGGGAACCCCTCATAATGGGCACGGCGGGTGTACAGACCCGGGGAACTCAGCACAGGGATGGTGGGAACCCCTCATAAGGTCCTTCTGGGGACATGAACACTCCAACTTGCACACTTTTCAGGTCTTTTGAATAGAAATGTAATTTATAAACATCGACCATCACATTTAATTTCAATTTTTTGTCCATTAGTTCGGAGTTGTCACGGCGAGTTGTCAGTCTTTTTCCGAGCGTCACATTGGGATGGCGGTCTGCTGCCGCTGTGTGTTTGCTCCTCCCCCTTTCGGGCCCGTCGGCTGCAGCAGCCATTTTTCTTAGCGCCGGTTGGACTGACAGTCGGAGATCTTTGCACCGCTATCTCTTCTGCCTTCTCTGGGATCCTGGCGCCACGCCCACTCCTAGGGCTGGGGGTCGGACTCGCTTTTCGTGACCCCTCCCCCTCCAGGGGAACCTGTTTGAAAATGAACGAGTCGTGATTTCAAGGGTCAGTCCACCCAAAAACGGACATCTCACAGGGAGACAAATCATCGGGAAATCGGTATTGCTGACGTGTACTACTACTTCTTTTTTTTTTTTTTTTTTTTTTTTTTTTTTTTTTACCCCCTTTCCCCCCCCCCCCCCCCCCCCCCCCCCCCCCCCCCCCCCCCCCCCCCCCCCCCCCCCCCCCCCCCCCCCCCCCCCCCCCCCCAGCCAATTTTCAGATTTCAGTGCTATCACATTTTGACTGACAATTGTGCGGTCATGCAACCCAAGTTAGTTTATAACCAAAAATTATAATTTTTAAACTTTTTTTTTTTTTTGTTTGTTATATATATATATATATATATATATAATATATATATATTTTTTTTTTTTACCCCTCCCCCCCCAGGCCAATTTTCAGTTTTCAGCACTATCACACTTTGACTGACAATTGCGCGGTCATGCAACACTGTACCCATATGAATGTTTTAGCATTTTTTTGAGACCGATAAAACTTTATTTTGGCGGTATTTATTCACCGCTGGGATTTTTATTTTTTTTTGTAAATGAAAATGTTCAAAAATTTTTGAAAAAAAAGTGTTTTTCTTAGAAAAAATTTGCAAATAAATACTATTTCATCATAAATCTTGGCCAAAATGTATTCCGTTATCTTTTTAGTAAAAAAAAAAAAAAATAACCCAAATTAGTTTATAACCAAAAATTATAATTTTTAAACTTTTTTTTTTTTTCACATTTTTTTAAAAAAATTTTATATATATTTTTTTTTACCCCCTTCCTGTCCAGGCCAATTTTCAGCTTTCAGCGCTATCACACTTTGGATGACAATTGCGCGGTCATGCAACACTGTACCCATATGAATTTTTTAGCATTTTTTTGAGACAGATAAAACTTTATTTTTGCTATGTAAATTAAAAAGTCCAAAAATTTAAAAAAAAAAGTGTTTTTTCTTAGAAAAAATTTGCAAATAAATAATCTTTCTTCATAAATCTTGGCCAAAATTTATTCCGTTATCTTTTTAATAAAAAAAAAAAACAACCCAAATGAGTTTATAACCAAAAATTATAATTTTTTTATAAAACTTTAAAAAAAAAAAATTTATATTTTTTTTTTTTTTTTTTTTTACCTACTGTCACCCTAGCAGTACACGGTCACCATGGTGACACTGTACTACTTGTGGGGGGTGATGAAGATTTCTTTTTTTACACTGATTGCCTACACCCATAAAGGCTGTAAAAGCAATCATTTCTCCTTCTCTCTGGTTGCATTCTTGCAGCCATTGTGAAGTACTGTGTGAGCTGTGATTGGTCACAGCTTGTCACGTGGTACAAGGCTGTTGTGAATAACCCTGTACCATGTGATCTCGGTGATCATTCACAGATTTCACACGTATAAAGCAATGATGTCAAAAGTGACATCTTGCTTACTACTCTGCATGTGATCGCCAATCAGTGATCACATGATCGGGACCTCGCACAGAGGTCCCGTACGGCGATCGGTGTTCCACTGTGTCTGGAGGACACAACGGGCACCGGATCGCGGTGCTGCGTGCAGGGGCGGACTGACAACTCATGGGGCGCCCGGGCAATAGGGGATCATGGGGCCCCTGTGTCCTTGCCCAAACTCAAAAAAAAGCCTATGAAAAAGGTACCAGGGGCACCTCATGGGGCCCCCTACTGACCCCGGGCAGTGCCCGAGTTTCCAAATGGTCAGTCCGCCCCTGGCTGCGCACTCCCAGAGAGCGCACACAAGCAGGGGGCGGGGAGGCCGTTTATAAACGTCCACCCGCCCCTGCACTGCCACCGTCCGGCCGTTTATATACAACGGACGGACTGGAAATGGTTAATATCGCCCCGACACGTTTGGAAAAAAATATGTATTTATAAAATTTTTTTAAAAAGTGCGTGTTCAATACATTCATTCTATGTGAATCAGAAAAAAGGAAAAAAAAACGAATGTTATTAGGCGATTTCCTGTGTTGGACGAACGTTTTACATTGATTTAAAAATGGAATTACTGCATTTGGCCACTAGCTGGCGCCATGAGTCATCAGAACATCCTATAGTTCTTGGCGCCATCTAATGGCGAAAACAGTGTTTGTTGATGTAAAAAAATGGAAAATACCACCTCTGGCCACTAGATGGTGCACAGAATCATTTCTTGTGATGCGTATCGCCATCTAATGGGCAAATGTGGTATTTATACTTTAAATCAATAAAAAATATTCGTCTGGTACAGGAAAGTCTGATAACGTTTGTTTGTTTTTTCCGTATTTTCAGAACGAATGTGTGTGCGCTTATCCTGGAGCCCCAAAGTGCAACTCGAGTGGCATTCCATCACCCGGTTGGGGTGTCCTTTGGCTTCTCAAGCATTACCACCCCCCCCCCCCCCCAACTTGGCACTTGGCTAGTAGATCGAACGCCACGTACCGAACAGCTCCAAGTGCACAGGTAGTGAAAAACGGCTCCATCTAATAGCCCCGCCCCCTGATGGGTGACCTGTGACCTATCCAGTTATAGAAGGTAAGCTGTGGGACAGACCTGGCCGGTGATGGTGGGTCTCAGCCCATTGGAGGCGCTGAGGAGCGGCTCCGAATTCTCGATCCATTGTGTCAGGCGTTTGGAGGCGTCTGCTGAGCGGGAGGTCAGGCTCAGTTTGGAAGGAGGGATCTTAAGGGGCATGTCCCATGTCCCCAGGAACGCCCCCCAGGGGCTGGCCTGAAAGAGAGAAATGTTCAATGTATATACATGGCCAGAAAATCGGTGGGCAGATCGCGCCCCCTGCTGATGAAAACATGGAGTGCAGCTACTGAATATGCCCCTTGCCTGGCTGTCTGTGACTGTAATGCAGGGAGTGCCAAACTGGGACCCGGGAGATTGCCTTTATCTGACCCTTGGGGAACTATTTCATCCACTGACACCAATGATAGGGTTCTATTCTTCCCACTGATACCAATGGTGGGGCACTATTCCTCCCACTGACACCAATGATGGGGCACTATTCCTCCCACTGACACCAATGATGGGGCACTATTCCTCCCACTGACACCAATGATGGGGCACTATTCCTCCACTGACACCAATGATGGGACACTATTCCTCCCACTGACACCAATGATGGGGCACTATTCCTCTCACTGATACCAATGATGGGGCACTATTCCTCCCACTGACACCAATGATGGGGCACTATTCCTCCCACTGATACCAATGATGGGGCACTATTCCTCCCACTGACACCAATGATGGGGCACTATTCCTCCCACTGACACCAATGATGGGGCACTATTCTTCCCACTGACACCAATGATGGGGCACTATTCCTCCCACTGACACCAATGATGGGGCACTATTCTTCCCACTGACACCAATGATGGGGCGCTAATCCTCCCCATGACACCAATAAAGGGGCCCAATTACAAGGCACTATTTCAGCCACTGACACCAATGAAAGGGCACAATTCCTCCCAATGACACCAATGAATGGGTACAATGCCTTCTAATGATGGAACACAATTCTTCCCAATGACACCAAGATATCCCCCCAGCAACAATAGACCCCTCCCTCACAAAGGATCCCTCAACAATAGACCCCTCCCTCATCAAGAGATCCCCCAACAATAGACCCCTCCCTCATCAAAGGATCCCTCAACAATAGACCCCTCCCTCATCAAGAGATCCCCCAACAATAGACCCCTCCCTCATCAAGGGATCCCCCAACAACAGACCCCTCCCTCATCAAGGGATCCCCCAACAACAGACCCCTCCCTCATCAAGGGATCCCCCAACAACAGACCCCTCCCTCATCAAGAGATCCCCCAACAACAGACCCCTCCCTCATCAAGGGATCCCCCAACAACAGACCCCTCCCTCATCAAGAGATCCCCCAACAACAGACCCCTCCCTCATCAAGGGATCCCCCAACAACAGACCCCTCCCTCATCAAGAGATCCCCCAACAACAGACCCCTCCCTCATCAAGGGATCCCCCAACAACAGACCCCTCCCTCATCAAGGGATCCCCCAACAACAGACCCCTCCCTCATCAAGGGATCCCCCAACAACAGACCCCTCCCTCATCAAGAGATCCCCCAACAACAGACCCCTCCCTCATCAAGGGATCCCCCAACAACAGACCCCTCCCTCATCAAGGGATCCCCCAACAACAGACCCCTGCGTTCTTGCTGAGAAAGCCCTGGGCCCCACTCTTTGTTCTAGGTCTAGGAGAAGAGGAACACCCCAAAGTGGGCGGGTCCTGGTCGCTCTTCAGGAGGAGGTGTTACCTGGGCCCTGGGCGCTCCGGGAAGCAGATGACCTCTGTCGTTGGCGATGATCTGAGTGAAGCCGTCGTGGGTGCGAGGGAACTGAAAGAGACCAAAGATCAGAGAGAACACCGCAAGGGTGCTACAGTCCCAGAATCCAGGACATCGCCCCCTACAGTGCACTGGTGGTGTTCACAACTTGTCTGACACAGATCAGCCCCTGATCACTGCCCTACAAATCTACAATGTACAGTCTGATCACTGGGGGAGGGGAGACTAAGAAAACGACTCCTCCTCCTTCTACAAAGTTACAATGTACAGTCTGATCACTGGGGGGGAGGAGACTGAGGGAATAACTCCTCCTCCTTCAACAAAGTTACAATGTACAGCCTGATCACCGGGGGAGGAGACTGAGGGAATAACTCCTCCTCCTTCAACAAAGTTACAATGTACAGTCTGATCACTGGGGGGAGGAGACTGAGGGAATAACTCCTCCTCCTTCAACAAAGTTACAATGTACAGCCTGATCACCGGGGGGGGAGACTGAGGGAATAACTCCTCCTCCTTCAACAAAGTTACAATGTACAGCCTGATCACCGGGGGAGGAGACTGAGGAAACGACTCCTCCTCCTTCTACAAAGTTACAATGTACAGTCTGATCACTGGGGGAGGGGAGACTGAGGGAATGCCTCCTCCCCCTTCTACAAAGTTACAATGTTAAGTCTGATCACTGGGGGAGGAGACTGAGGGAATGCCTCCTCCCCCTTCTACAAAGTTACAATGTTAAGTCTGATCACTGGGGGGAGGGGAGACAGGAAATGACTATTGACTACTTCTGTGTCATGGGGTAATGATTGTCCTGTAGTGTGCTGACATCTACTGGCCGTTTCTGGCCGCTACAACATGTTTACTGTGCGATATTCTTCCCTTTCCCTCCTGTTTAGAGCTAGTTAGATCATTCATAGCCCCTCATGTTCCCTCGGTCAGTATTCGTACTCCTCAGAGGCGGGGCATAGGAAAGGCGGGGCATAGGAAAGGCGGGAATAATAGCAAACCGCCTCTGTTCTGATGGATCTCACCGTCTGTCTTATCGAGGAGTGAAGCTGCCTGTGGATGGTGTCGAGTCAGCAGGTACGGAGGATGGGCCTTTGGAGGGAGAGCAAAGCATACATACAGAAATTGGAGGTAGGTCGGGGGAGGGGAGGGGGGGTGTTACCTGTTTGCAGGGTTTCGGGACGGTCCAGTTCTGCAGTTGGCGGGGGTTGAACGCACTCTGATACTGCGAACAAGAGACAGTCGTTATCTATGAATGACTCGCGGTGCGTTCAGATCGCTGCGCGGGGCCCGGGGGGTGCGTTTTTTTTTTTTTTTTTTAGGCGGGTGCGCTGTCGTGCGAGAAATCATTGAAAATCTTCACAAGTCACAGAAATCGCGCCTGAAATCGCACGATATTAAATCTCAGGGGTGTGACCGGCTGCTACTCATTGTCACCGCGGCGAGCAGACGCGGGCGTTACTGCGACAACAAGCGCGCAAAACTCAACGTTCGTAAGTCCCGGGTCACACCGGGTGCAACTTGGCATGCGATTTGATGGGTCTCTTTCAGTTTGAAATCTGCCTAGCAACAAGAAAAAAAATTTAAAAATGGGAAAAAAAACCCAGCAAAACGCATAGAACATGCAGCAAAAACTGATACTAACTGACATCACCAGTGACCCTTACACCCCTCCCCCCCGGGGGTCACACTGATCCCGACTTTGCATTTTTGCTGCGTTTTGCGTTTGAAATCTGCCTAGCGACAAGAAAAATTTTTAAAAAATTAAAAAAAACCCCCAGCAAAACGCATACAAAATGCAGCAAAAACGCATGTGCGGCGGGCAAACTGATACTAACTGGCATCACCAGCGACCCTTACACCCCTCCACTCCTCCCTCCGGGGTCACATCGATCCCAACTTTGAAATCGTGCGACTTCGCTGGAAAGGGTCACTTTTTGAACGCAAATGGGGACGCTGCAGAAAAGCATGTAGTGCGTTTTGCTGTTTTGTTTTAACTTTTTTTTCTTGTCGCTAGGCAGATTTCAAACGCAAAATGCAGCAAAAACGCACTACATGCTTTTCTGCAGCGTCCCCATTTGCGTTCAAAAAGTGACCCTTTCCAGCGAAGTCGCACGATTTTAAAGTTGGGATCGATGTGACCCCGGAGGGGGAGGGCTGTAAGGGTCATTGGTGATGCCAGTTAGTATCAGTTTGCCCGCCGCACGTGCATTTTTACTGCGTTTTGTGTTTATTTTTTGCATTTTTTTGCTTGTTGTTAGGCAGATTTCAAACGCAAAATGCAGCAAAAACGCACTACATGCTTTTCTGCAGCGTCCCCATTTGCGTTTCAAAAAGTGACCCTTTCCAGCGAAGTTGCACAATTTCAAAGTTGGGATGGGTGTGACCCCCGGGGGGGGGGGGGGGGTCACTGGTGATGTCAGTTCCCACAAAGTGTCAGTTAGTATCAGTTTGCCCGCCGCGCTTGTGTTTTTGCTGCATTTTTTATGTGTTTTGCTTGGTTTTTTTTTTCATTTTTAACATTTTTTCTTGTTGCTAGGCAGATTTCAAACACAAAACGCAGCAAAAATGCAAAGTTAGGATCAGTGTGACCCCGGGGGGGGAGGGGGGTGTAAGGGTCACTGGTGATGTCAGTTAGTATCAGTCTGCCCGCCGCGCTTGCGTTTTTTTTTGCTGCATTTTTTTATGCATTTTGCTGGGTCTTTTTTAAAAATGAAAAAAACTCGCAAAATGCAGCAAAAACGCACGTGCGGAAGGCAAACTGATACTAACTGACACCATCAGTGACCCTTGACCTCCCTCCCCCGGGGTCACACCCATCCCGACTTTGCTGGAAAGGCAAATGGGGACGCTGCAGAAAAGCACGTAGTGCGCATTTAATGCATTTTGCATTTGAAATCTGCCTAGCGACAAGAAAAAAAAAATTAATAAATGAAAAAAAAACAGCAAAAACGCATAAAAAACGCAGCAAAAATCACAAGTGCGGCGGACAAACTGATACTGACGTCACCAGTGACCCTTACACCCCTCCCCCCCCCCCCCAGGTCACACCGATCTTTGAAAACGTGCGACTTCGCTGGAAAGGATGTCAAAGTCGGGGGTCCCGCTGATTTCAGGCGCGATTTGCAAGACGCCAGACGCAGACATCTATGCGGATCGCATGGACTACTTTAGAAATTGGCGCGGCTCCGACCGAGTCAGAACCGCGCCGATATGACCGCTGCGGATAATTTTCAAGTCGCACGGCATGAAGATCGCACGCCAAGTCGCAGCAAGTGTGACCGGGGTGTTAAGGCGACCCCACCCCTGTATTACCGCCCCCCCTACAGGGACCCCCCGTGTACAGTGATGACTGTAGGGGCCACAGGGGGGGCGCTGTACCTGGTTTGCGCTGTAGCTGGTCGCCATGCTGCTCCTTCTGCTCTCTCTGTGTGCACTCCTGTTACCAGGCAACGGTCAGCAGGGGAGGCGGGGCCAGAGTAGCCAATCACACCCCCCTCCCACTGCTGCTGATTGGCTGGTGAGGGGATGAATGGCAGAACACACTCACCAATGGAATGGCTGTTGGAGGCGACTTTCACACCGATCCATAGCAAAAAAACGCAGCAAAAACGCATGTGCACGTTTACCGCGCCTTTTTTTTTTACAGTGACTCAAAAATTGCACCAAAAACGCAGCGTTTTTTTTTTACCGCGTCAAATCTGCACCACAAAAAAAAAAATGCGCTAAACCCGCAACGGATCTGTGTGAAAGCAGCCTGACCCCGGGATCACGCCGACGCGTTTCCACCACGCCTCGCAGAAACGCACAGCAGTCCGTTCAACACGATTTCCTACGGGACTGGCTCACACCTGTGCGTTTTCACCCGCTGCGCTTTTTTTTTTGGAAAGGATCGCTTTTTGAACGCAAAACGTTGCGTTTTTGGACTTCAACGGGGGCGCTGCAGGAACGCATGTAGTGCGTTTTTGCTGTGTTTTGCATTTTAAATCTGCCTGGCATTGAAATAGGGACGTGTGCGTTCCGGTGCGTTTTTGTGCATTTTTGCTGCATTTTGACGCATTCCAGTGCATTTTTGATGCTTTCTGGGTCCTTTTTCTCCCCTTTTTTTCCCCATTTAAACAGAAACGTGTGTTCCATTGTGTTTTTAATGCGTTTTTGATGCTTTCAGGTTCCCCGTCTCTTTTTCTTCAATTTAAATAAGGACATGCGCTTTTTTGGTGCATTCTAGCACATTTTCGATGCGTTTTTGATGCATTCCAGTGTGTTTTTAATGGTTTCCGTTCATTTCCCCACCCCCTTTTTTCAATTTATAAAGGGACATGTGCGTTTCAGTGCGTTTTTGGTGCGTTTTTTTATGCTTTCCGGTTCATTTTTTTCCTTCTCTTTTACTTCAATTGAAATAGGCACGTGCATTTTTGTGCGTTCCGGTGCATTTTCTATGCATTTTTGATGTGGTCCAGTGTGTTTTTGATGCTTTCTGGGTCATTTTTCTCCCCTTTTTTGCCCCATTTAAACTGAAACGTGTGTTCCAGTGCGTTTTTGGTGCGTTTTGGTGCATTTTTAATGCGTTCTTGATGCATTCCAGTGCGTTTTTGATGCTTTCAGGTTCATTTTTTCCACCTTCTCTTTTTTCTTCAATTTAAATAGGGACATGCAGTTTTTTGGTGCGTTTTTGATGCATTCCAGTGCGTTTTTAATGGTTTCCATTCATTTCCCCACCCCTTTTTCAATTTATATAGGGACATGTGCGTTTCAGTGCGTTTTTGGTGTGTTTTTTTATGCTTTCCAGTTAATTTTTTCCCTTTTCTTTTTCTTCAATTTAAATAGGCACGTCATTTTTCTCCCCTTTTTTCCCCATTTAAACAGAAAACGTGTGTTCCAGTGCGTTTTTTTGTGCGCTCCGGTGCATTTTTAATGCGTTTTTGACGCATTCCAGTGTGTTTTTGATGCTTTCTGGCTCATTTTTCTCCCCTTTTTCCCCCATTTAAATAGGAACATGCGTTTTTTGGTTCGTTCCAGTGCGTTTTTGATGCTTTCAGGTTCATTTTTCCACCCCCTCTTTTTTTTTCAATTTAAACAGGGACATGCACATTTTTTTTGTGCGTTTTGGTGCATTCTAGTGCATTTTCAATGCATTTTTGATGCATTTCAGTGCTTTTTATTGTTTTCCAACTCATTTCCCCCCCGCCTTTTTCTTTTCAATTTATATAGGGACGTGTGCATTTTCAGTGCGTTTTTGTTGCGTTTTTTTTATGCTTTTCGGTTCATTTTTTTTTTCCCTTTTTTTTCTTCAATTGAAATAGGCACGTGCGTTTTCTATGCGTTTTTGACGCATTCCAGTGCGTTTTTGATGCTTTGTGTTTCATTCCCCCCCTTTTTTTCAATTTAAATAGGGACATGCGTTAGTGCATTTTAATGCGTTCCGGTGCGTTTTCAATGCATTTTTAACGCATCCCAGTGTGTTTTTGATGCTTTCTGGTTCATTTTTCGCTGTGCCTGTACGAGTCGCTTGTCCACGGTACAATCCAGGTGGGTGATTAAAAAAAAAAAAGTGATCCCACTCCTTGTCCGGGCACTTCCTGTTACAGGGTGACAACGCTCTGTCGCTGTCTCCCAATTCCGCTCAGCGTTGTCACCCTGTCAGCTGATCAGCAGATCCCGCCCATGAATCATTGGCTGGGACCTTCAGACAAAATCCTGTTGTGTCCAATCACAGAGGTAGTTGGCAGTAGGGGGAGGGACCCTGAACCCGGAAGCAGGCGACAAACAGTCCAGGTAAATCGCAGTGCCTGTACGAGTCGCCTGCCCGCGGTACAATCCGGGTGGGTGGTCCTAAAGCAGTTAAAAAAAAAAAGTGCGGGCCCTTCCTATTACAGGGTGACAACGCTCTGTCCTCGTCTTCCAATTCCGCTCAGCGTTGTCAACCTGCGAACTGCTCAGCAGGTCCCACCCATGAATCATTGTCCAATCACAGAGGATGTTGGCGGTTGGGGGAGGGGAACCCGGAAGCAGGCAGCAAACGATACAGGCAAGTCGCAGTCTACGGTACAATCCAGGTGGGTGATTAAAAAAAAAAAAAAGTGATCCCACCATAAAGACCCTTATCCGGGCACTTCCTGTTACAGGGTGACAACGCTCTGTCGCCGTCTCCCAATTCCGCTCAGTGTTGTCACCCTGTCAGCTGCTCAGCGGGTCCCGCCCATGAATCATTGGCTGGGACCTGCTGACAAAATGGTGCTGTATCCAATCACAGAGGAGGTCGGCGGGTGGGGGGAGGGGCTGAGCCCGCCAGGTAGGTCGCTGTTCCTGTGGGAGTCACCTGATCACGGTACAATCCGGGTCCTACAGGCCTTTATGGGAAGAGCAGACTATAGACAGTGACCCCAAGAGCTGACACTCTAATCCCCCCCCCATAGAAATGATATAAAAGGGGGAAGGCCCCAGCGAGATTTGAACTCGCGACCCCTGGTTTACAAGACCAGTGCTCTAACCCCTGAGCTATGGAGCCATCTACAGGCAGACGCGGAAATCACCCAGCTATATATACACGGCCTCCGTCCATCAGAGGGCGCTCTGTACCGCTTCCTGTACTCATTGCGCAGTCGCGTACTGATCGCCCCGCCCCCTCTCCATCACAGCGGACACATTGTATCTCTGAGCGCCGGATTTCCCGATAGGACACGATGGATACAATGTATCTCATCCCCGCCCCCCACCCGCCGGCCAATCACAGCTCGGGGGATAACGCAGAGCGGCGCGCGCAGCCTCCTCCTCCGTCCACCCTCCAATCCCCTGTCGGCTCTGTGTGTGACGTGTTACGGCCCCGCCTCCCCTCGCGCTCTCTCTCTTTCCGGCGGACGGTGATGGCGGCTCCGGGGATGTGTTCCGGGGCTCCGGTGGTGCTGAACGGCCCGGTGGTGAAGGTGCACCCGGTGGTCCTGGCCTCCATAGTGGACAGCTACGAGCGGAGGAACGAGGGGGCGGCCCGGGTGATCGGGACTCTGCTGGGTGAGGGGAGATCATTATCTCATCACGTGTACCGATCCATGGAGGGGCCCCTGCACTGTACTGATCCTATGGAGGGGCCCCTGCACTGTACTGATCCTATGGAGGGGCCCCTGCACTGTTCTGATCCATGGAGGGGCCCCTGCACTGTACCGATCCTATGGAGGGGCCCCTGCACTGTACTGATCCTATGGAGGGACCCCTGCACTGTACTGATCCTATGGAGGGGCCCCTGCACTGTACTGATCCTATGGAGGGGCCCCTGCACTGTTCTGATCCTATATGGAGGGGCCCCTGCACTGTTCTGATCCTATGGAGGGGCCCCTGCACTGTTCTGATCCTATGGAGGGGCCCCTGCACTGTACTGATCCTATGGAGGGGCCCCTGCACTGTACTGATCCTATGGAGGGGCCCCTGCACTGTACTGATCCTATGGAGGGGCCCCTGCACTGTACTGATCCTATGGAGGGGCCCCTGGACTGTACCGATCCATGGAGGGGCCCCTGGACTGTACCGATCCATGGAGGGGCCCCTGGACTGTACCGATCCATGGAGGGGCCCCTGTACTGTACCGATCCATGGAGGGGCCCCTGTACTGTACCGATCCATGGAGGGGCCCCTGTACTGTACCGATCCATGGAGGGGCCCCTGTACCGATCCATGGAGGGGCCCCTGCACTCTACTTATCCTATGGAGGGGCCCCTGGACTGTGCTGATCCTATGGAGGGGCCCACACTGTTTCTTTTTCCTCAAATCACATATGGGGCCCCTGTATGCTAAATGTCGGGGTCTGCACTCTTCCTCTGTTTTCTGGTTACACGTGAGGCCCCTGTGTTATCTTTGTGGGGCCACACTGATCACCTGTGTCCTGACCATATATGGGGCCCCTGTATTGTGTATGGGGGGGCCCCCCACACTGCTCCCCATTATTATACAGTATTTATATGGCGGCAGAAGGTTTGCTCAGCGCTGTACATTATAGTGGGGACAGAACATGAGACAATACAGGAGGGTGCGGGGGCCCTGCTCCTTGGAGCTTACAATCTTGATCATATATGTGGCCCCTGTATTGTGTATGGGGGGGCCCCCACACTGCTTCCCTGTGTCCTGACCATATATGGGGCCCCTGTATTGTGTATGGGGGGCCCCACACTGCTCCCCTGTGTCCTGACCATATATGGGGCCCCTGTATTGTGTATGGGGGGCCCCCACACTGCTCCCCTGTGTCCTGACCATATATGGGGCCCCTGTATTGTGTATGGGGGGCCCCACACTGCTCCCCTGTGTCCTGACCATGTATGATGATGATGTTGGTTCTCTTCCAGGAACGACGGATAAACATTCTGTGGAGATCACCAACTGCTTCTCCGTCCCCCACAATGAGTCCGAGGACGAGGTACGCCCCCCCCCCCGCCACCTCATCCCCCCCCCCGCCACCCATCCCCTCCCCCAATCAATCTTTATTCCCCGCCTCATCGTTCTTCCTCCCCCCGCCTCATCGTTCTTCCTCCCCCCGCCTCACCGTTCTTCCTCCCCCCGTCTCTTCCCTCCCCCCGTCTCATCGTTCTTCCTCCCCCCCGCCTCATCGTTCTTCCTCCCCCCCGCCTCATCGTTCTTCCTCCCCCCCGCCTCATCGTTCTTCCTCCCCCCCCGCCTCATCGTTCTTCCTCCCCCCCGCGCTCATCGTTCTTCCTCCCCCCCCGCCTCATCGTTCTTCCTCCCCCCCCGCCTCATCGTTCTTCCTCCCCCCCCGCCTCATCGTTCTTCCTCCCCCCCCGCCCCTCATCGTTCTTCCTCCCCCCCCCGCCTCATCGTTCTTCCTCCCCCCCCGCCTCATCGTTCTTCCTCCCCCCCCCGCCTCATCGTTCTTCCTCCCCCCCCGCCTCATCGTTCTTCCTCCCCCCCCGCCTCATCGTTCTTCCTCCCCCCCCGCCTCATCGTTCTTCCTCCCCCCCCCCCCTCATCGTTCTTCCTCCCCCCCCCCCCCCGCCTCATCGTTCTTCCTCCCCCCCCCCCCCCCGCCTCATCGTTCTTCCTCCCCCCCCCCCGCCTCATCGTTCTTCCTCCCCCCCCCCCCGCCTCATCGTTCTTCCTCCCCCCCCCCCCCCGCCTCATCGTTCTTCCTCCCCCCCCCCCCCCTTCATCGTTCTTCCTCCCCCCCCCCGCCTCATCGTTCTTCCTCCCCCCCCGCCTCATCGTTCTTCCTCCCCCCCCCGCCTCATCGTTCTTCCTCCCCCCCCGCCTCATCGTTCTTCCTCCCCCCCCCGCCTCATCGTTCTTCCTCCCCCCCGCCTCATCGTTCTTCCTCCCCCCCGCCTCATCGTTCTTCCTCCCCCCCCGCCTCATCGTTCTTCCTCCCCCCCCGCCTCATCGTTCTTCCTCCCCCCCGCCTCATCGTTCTTCCTCCCCCCCCCGCCTCATCGTTCTTCCTCCCCCCCGCCTCATCGTTCTTCCTCCCCCCCCCGCCTCATCGTTCTTCCTCCCCCCCCCGCCTCATCGTTCTTCCTCCCCCCCCCGCCTCATCGTTCTTCCTCCCCCCCCCCGCCTCATCGTTCTTCCTCCCCCCCCCCCCCGCGCCTCATCGTTCTTCCTCCCCCCCCCGCCTCATCGTTCTTCCTCCCCCCCCCCCCCGCCTCATCGTTCTTCCTCCCCCCCCCGCCTCATCGTTCTTCCTCCCCCCCCCCCGCCTCATCGTTCTTCCTCCCCCCCCCGCCTCATCGTTCTTCCTCCCCCCCCCCGCCTCATCGTTCTTCCTCCCCCCCCGCCTCATCGTTCTTCCTCCCCCCCCCCCCTCATCGTTCTTCCTCCCCCCCCGCCTCATCGTTCTTCCTCCCCCCCCCCCCCCGCCTCATCGTTCTTCCTCCCCCCCCCCGCCTCATCGTTCTTCCTCCCCCCCCCGCCTCATCGTTCTTCCTCCCCCCCCGCCTCATCGTTCTTCCTCCCCCCCCGCCTCATCGTTCTTCCTCCCCCCCGCCTCATCGTTCTTCCTCCCCCCCCGCCTCATCGTTCTTCCTCCCCCCCCGCCTCATCGTTCTTCCTCCCCCCTCCCCCGCCTCATCGTTCTTCCTCCCCAGTATATAATGTGTTTCCTCTGGTCTGGGCAGGTGGCGGTGGATATGGAATTCGCCAAAAATATGTACGAACTTCACAAGAAAGTCTCCAACACCGAACAGATCGTGGGCTGGTGAGATCCGTAGTCTGAGTGTGACTCCGCCTCCTCTGGATGGATGATTGAGTGTGACTCCGCCTCCTCTGGGTGGATGGATGATTGAGTGGGACTCCTCCTCCTCTGGGTGGATGGATGATTGAGTGGGACTCCTCCTCCTCTGGGTGGATGGATGATTGAGTGGGACTCCTCCTCCTCTGGGTGGATGGATGATTGAGTGGGACTCCTCCTCCTCTGGGTGGATGGATGATTGAGTGGGACTCCTCCTCCTCTGGGTGGATGGATGATTGAGTGGGACTCCTCCTCCTCTGGGTGGATGGATGATTGAGTGGGACTCCTCCTCCTCTGGGTGGATGGATGATTGAGTGGGACTCCTCCTCCTCTGGGTGGATGGATGATTGAGTGGGACTCCTCCTCCTCTGGGTGGATGGATGATTGAGTGGGACTCCTCCTCCTCTGGGTGGATGGATGATTGAGTGGGACTCCTCCTCCTCTGGGTGGATGGATGATTGAGTGGGACTCCTCCTCCTCTGGGTGGATGGATGATTGAGTGGGACTCCTCCTCCTCTGGGTGGATGGATGATTGAGTGGGACTCCTCCTCCTCTGGGTGGATGGATGATTGAGTGGGACTCCTCCTCCTCTGGGTGGATGGATGATTGAGTGGGACTCCTCCTCCTCTGGGTGGATGGATGATTGAGTGGGACTCCTCCTCCTCTGGGTGGATGGATGATTGAGTGGGACTCCTCCTCCTCTGGGTGGATGGATGATTGAGTGGGACTCCTCCTCCTCTGGGTGGATGGATGATTGAGTGGGACTCCTCCTCCTCTGGGTGGATGGATGATTGAGTGGGACTCCTCCTCCTCTGGGTGGATGGATGATTGAGTGGGACTCCTCCTCCTCTGGGTGGATGGATGATTGAGTGGGACTCCTCCTCCTCTGGGTGGATGGATGATTGAGTGGGACTCCTCCTCCTCTGGGTGGATGGATGATTGAGTGGGACTCCTCCTCCTCTGGGTGGATGGATGATTGAGTGGGACTCCTCCTCCTCTGGGTGGATGGATGATTGAGTGGGACTCCTCCTCCTCTGGGTGGGATGGATGATTGAGTGGGACTCCTCCTCCTCTGGGTGGATGGATGATTGAGTGGGACTCCTCCTCCTCTGGGTGGATGGATGATTGAGTGGGACTCCTCCTCCTCTGGGTGGATGGATGATTGAGTGGGACTCCTCCTCCTCTGGGTGGATGGATGATTGAGTGGGACTCCTCCTCCTCTGGGTGGATGGATGATTGCGTGGGACTCCTCCTCCTCTGGGTGGATGGATGATTGCGTGGGACTCCTCCTCCTCTGGGTGGATGGATGATTGCGTGGGACTCCTCCTCCTCTGGGTGGATGGATGATTGCGTGGGACTCCTCCTCCTCTGGGTGGATGGATGATTGCGTGGGACTCCTCCTCCTCTGGGTGGATGGATGATTGCGTGGGACTCCTCCTCCTCTGGGTGGATGGATGATTGCGTGGGACTCCTCCTCCTCTGGGTGGATGGATGATTGCGTGGGGGACTCCTCCTCCTCTGGGTGGATGGATGATTGCGTGGGACATTTGCGTGGGACTCCTCCTCCTCTGGGTGGATGGATGATTGCGTGGGACTCCTCCTCCTCTGGGTGGATGGATGATTGGGTGGGACTCCTCCTCCTCTGGGTGGATGGATGATTGAGTGGGACTCCTCCTCCTCTGGGTGGATGGATGATTGAGTGGGACGACTCCTCCTCTGGGTGGATGGATGATTGAGTGGACGACTCCTCCTCTGGGTGGATGGATGATTGGGCTCGCGGGACGACTCCTCTGGATGGATGGATGATTGGGCTGGGGCTCCTCTGGCGACGGGGCTCCTCTGGATCGATGATTGGGTGATTCTTCCTCTGGATGATTGGGGGCGGCGACTCCTCTAGATGGATGATTGGGGGCGGCGACTCCTCTAGATGGATGATTGAGGGCGGCGACTCCTCTAGATGGATGATTGAGGGCGGCGACTCCTCTAGATGGATGATTGGGGGCGGCGACTCCTCTAGATGGATGATTGGGGCGGCGACTCCTCTAGATGGATGATTGGGGCGGCGACTCCTCTAGATGGATGATTGGGGGCGGCGACTCCTCTAGATGGATGATTGGGGGCGGCGACTCCTCTAGATGGATGGATCCTCTAGATGGATGATTGGGGGCGGCGACTCCTCTAGATGGATGATTGGGGCGGCGACTCCTCTAGATGGATGATTGGGGGCGGCGACTCCTCTAGATGGATGATTGGGGGCGGCGACTCCCTCTAGATGGATGATTGGGGGGCGGCGACTCCTCTAGATGGATGATTGGGGGCGGCGACTCCTCTAGATGGATGATTGGGGGGCGGCGACTCCTCTGGATGGATGATTGGGGGCGGCGACTCCTCTAGATGGATGATTGGGGGCGGCGACTCCTCTGGATGGATGATTGGGGGCGGCGACTCCTCCTCTGGATGGATGATTGGGGGCGGCGACTCCTCTGGATGGAGGATTGGGTGCGACTTTTCCTCTGGATGATTGGAGGCGGCGACTCCTCTCTGGATGGACGATTTGGTGCGGCGACTCCTCCTCTGGATGGACGATTGGGTGCGGCGACTCCTCCTCTGGATGGACGATTGGGTGCGGCGACTCCTCCTCTGGATGGACGATTGGGTGCGGCGACTCCTCCTCTGGATGGACGATTGGGTGCGGCGACTCCTCCTCTGGATGGACGATTGGGTGCGGCGACTCCTCCTCTGGATGGACGATTGGGTGCGGCGACTCCTCCTCTGGATGGACGATTGGGTGCGGCGACTCCTCCTCTGGATGGACGATTGGGTGCGGCGACTCCTCCTCTGGATGGACGATTGGGTGCGGCGACTCCCTCTGGATGGACGATTGGGTGCGGCGACTCCTCCTCTGGATGGACGATTGGGTGCGGCGACTCCTCCTCTGGATGGACGATTGGGTGCGGCGGCTCCTCCTCTGGATGGACGATTGGGTGCGGCGGCTCCTCCTGTGGATGGACGATTGGGTGCGGCGGCTCCTCCTGTGGATGGACGATTGGGTGCGGCGGCTCCTCCTGTGGATGGACGATTGGGTGCGGCGGCTCCTCCTGTGGATGGACGATTGGGTGCGGCGGCTCCTCCTGTGGATGGACGATTGGGTGCGGCGGCTCCTCCTGTGGATGGACGATTGGGTGCGGCGGCTCCTCCTGTGGATGGACGATTGGGTGCGGCGGCGGCTCCTCCTGTGGATGGACGATTGGGTGCGGCGGCTCCTCCTGTGGATGGACGATTGGGGGCGGCGGCGGCTCCTCCTGTGGATGGACGATTGGGGGGGCGGCGGCTCCTCCTGTGGATGGACGGTGGGGGGGCGCGGCTCCTCCTGTGGATGGACGGTGGAGGGGGGCGGCGGCTCCTCCTGTGGATGGACGGTGGAGGGGGCGGCGGCTCCTCCTGTGGATGGACGGTGGAGGGGGCGGCGGCTCCTCCTGTGGATGGACGGTGGAGGGGGCGGCGGCTCCTCCTGTGGATGGACGGTGGAGGGGGCGGCGGCTCCTCCTGTGGATGGACGGTGGAGGGGGCGGCGGCTCCTCCTGTGGATGGACGGTGGAGGGGGCGGCGGCTCCTCTGTGGATGGACGGTGGAGGGGGCGGCGGCTCCTCCTGTGGATGGACGGTGGGGGGGGCGGCGGCTCCTCCTGTGGATGGACGGTGGGGGGGGGCGGCGGCTCCTCCTGTGGATGGACGGTGGAGGGGGCGGCGGCTCCTCCTGTGGATGGACGGTGGGGGGGGCGGCGGCTCCTCCTGTGGATGGACGGTGGAGGGGGCGGGCGGCTCCTCCTGTGGATGGACGGTGGAGGGGGCGGCGGCTCCTCCTGTGGATGGACGGTGGAGGAGGGGGGCGGCGGCTCCTCCTGTGGATGGACGGTGGAGGGGGGCGGCGGCTCCTCCTGTGGATGGACGGTGGAGGGGGCGGCGGCTCCTCCTGTGGATGGACGGTGGAGGGGGGCGGCGGCTCCTCCTGTGGATGGACGGTGGAGGGGGCGGCGGCTCCTCCTGTGGATGGACGGTGGAGGGGGCGGCGGCTCCTCCTGTGGATGGACGGTGGAGGGGGGGGGGCGGCGGCTCCTCCTGTGGATGGACGGTGGAGGGGGCGGCGGCTCCTCCTGTGGATGGACGGTGGAGGGGGGCGGCGGCTCCTCCTGTGGATGGACGGTGGAGGGGGCGGCGGCTCCTCCTGTGGATGGACGGTGGAGGGGGCGGCGGCTCCTCCTGTGGATGGACGGTGGAGGGGGCGGCGGCTCCTCCTGTGGATGGACGGTGGAGGGGCGGCGGCTCCTCCTCTGTGGATGGACGGTGGAGGGGGCGGCGGCTCCTCCTGTGGATGGACGGTGGAGGGGGGCGGCGGCTCCTCCTGTGGATGGACGGTGGAGGGGGCGGCGGCTCCTCCTGTGGATGGACGGTGGAGGGGGGCGGCGGCTCCTCCTGTGGATGGACGGTGGAGGGGGCGGCGGCTCCTCCTGTGGATGGACGGTGGAGGGGGCGGCGGCTCCCTCCTGTGGATGGACGGTGGAGGGGGCGGGCGGCTCCTCCTGTGGATGGACGGTGGGGGGGGGCGGCGGCTCCTCCTGTGGATGGACGGTGGGGGGGGCGGCGGCTCCTCTGTGGATGGACGGTGGGGGGGGGCGGCGGCTCCTCCTGTGGATGGACGGTGGGGGGGGGCGGCGGCTCCTCCTGTGGATGGACGGTGGGGGGGGGGGGCGGCTCCTCCTCCTTTGGATGGACGGTGGGGGGGGCGGCGGCTCCTCCTTTGGATGGACGGTGGGGGGGGCGGCGGCTCCTCTCCTTTGGATGGACGGTGGGGGGGGGCGGCGGCTCCTCCTTTGGATGGACGGTGGGGGGGGGGGCGGCTCCTCCTTTGGATGGACGGGGGGGGGGGCGGCGGCTCCTCCTTTGGATGGACGGTGGGGGGGGGCGGCGACTCCTCCTTTGGATGGACGATGGGGGGGGCGACTCCTCTGTATGGACGATGGGGGGCGGCGACTCCTCCTCCTCCGGATGGACGATGGGGGGGGCGGCGACTCCTCCGGATGGACGATGGGGGGCGAATAGTCCTCCTCCGGATGGACGATGGGGGGCGACGACTCCTCCTCCTCCTCCGGATGGACTATGGGGGGCGACGACGACTCCTCCTCCTCCGGATGGACTATGGGGGGGACGACGACTCCTCCTCCTCCGGATGGACGATGGGGGGCGACGACTCCTCCTCCTCCTCCGGATGGACGATGGGGGGCGACGACTCCTCCTCCGGATGGACGATGGGGGGCGACGACGACGACTCCTCCGGATGGACGATGGGGGGGCGACGACGACGACGACTCCTCCGGATGGACGATTGGGGGGCGACGACGACGACTCCTCCGGATGGACGATGGGGGGCGACGACGACGACGACTCCTCCGGATGGACGATGGGGGGCGACGACGACGACTCCTCCTTTGGATGGACGATTGGGCGCGGCGGCGACTCCTCCTTTGGATGGACGATTGGGCGCGGCGGCGACTCCTCCTTTGGATGGACGATTGGGGGGCGGGCGGCTCCTCCTTTGGATGGACGATGGATTGGGGCGACGACGGCGACTCCTCCTCCTCCGGATGGACGATGGGGGGCGGCGACTCCTCCTCCTCCGGATGGACGATGGGGGGGGCGGCGATTCCTCTGTATGGACGATGGGGGGGGGCGGCGATCCTCTGTATGGACGATGGGGGGAGGCGACTCCTCTGTATGGACGATGGGGGCGGCGGCGACTCCTCCTCCTCCGGATGGACGATGGGGGGGCGGCGACTCCTCCGGATGGACGATTGGGGGGCGACTAGTCCTCCTCCGGATGGACGATGGGGTGGCGGACGACTCCTCCCTCCGGATGGACTATGGGGGGCGACGACGACTCCTCCTCCTCCGATGGACTATGGGGGGCGACGACTCCTCCTCCTCCTCCGGATGGACGATGGGGGCGACGACTCCTCCTCCTCCTCCGGATGGACGATGGGGGGGACGACGACGACTCCTCCGGATGGACGATTGGGGGCGGACGACGACTCCTCCTCCGGATGGACGATTGGGGGCGACGACGACGACTCCTCCGGATGGACGATTGGGGCGCGACGGCGACTCCTCCTCCGGATGGACGATGGGGGGCGACGACGACGACTCCTCCGGATGGACGATGGGGGGCGACGACGACGACGACTCCTTTGGATGGACGATTGGGCGCGGCGGCGACTCCTCCTTTGGATGGACGATTGGGGGCGGCGGCTCCTCCTTTGGATGGACGATGGAGGGGGCGACGACGGCGACTCCTCCTCCTCCGGATGGACGATGGGGGGGGGGCGACTCCTCCTCCTCCGGATGGACGATGGGGGGGCGGCGGCGACTTTCCTCCTCGATGGGGGGCGGCGATTCTGGGACGATGGGGGCGGCGACTCCTCCTTTCCTCCGGATGGACGATTGGGGGCGGCGGCGACTCCTCCTTTGATGGACGATTGGGGGGCGACGACTCCTCCGGATGGACGATGGGGGGCGGCGACGACTCCTCCTCTGGATGGATGATTGGGTGCGATTCTTCCTCTGGATGATTGGAGCGGCGACTCCTCCTTTGGATGGACAATGGGGGATTGGGGGGCGGCGACGACGACTCCTCCTCGGATGGACGATTGGGGGGCGGCGACTCCTCCTGGACGATTGGGTGGGGGGGGCGGCGACTCCTCCGGATGGACGATTGGGACGATGGGGGGCGGCGACTCCTCCGGATGGACGATTGGGCGCGGCGGGCCGACGACCTCCTGTATGGACGATTGGGCGCGGCGGCGACGATCGGACGACTCCTCCGGATGGACGATTGGGCGCGGCGCGACTCCTCTGGATGACGATCGGACGACTCCTCTGGATGGGGGGCGATTGGGATTGGGTGCGGGCGACGACGACTCCTCCGGATGATGGACGGATTGGGCGTGGCGACGATTGGGGCGACTCCTCCGGATGGACGATTGGGCGTGGCGGCGACTCCCTCCGGATGGACGATTGGGGGCGGCGGCGGCGACTCCTCCGGATGGACGATTGGGCGCGGCGGCGACTCCTCCTCGGATGGACGATGGGCGATTGGGGGCGCGGCGACGACTCCTCCGGATGGATGATTGGGTGCCATTCTTCCTCTGGATGATTGGAGGCGGCGACTCCTCCGGATGGACGATTGGGCGCGGCGACGACTCCTCCGGATGGACGATTGGGTGGCGGCGACTCCTCCTCTGGATGACGATGGGGGGCGGCGACTCCCTCCTCTGGATGGACGATTGGGCGTGGCGACGACGACTCCTCCGTCTGGATGGACGATTGGGCGCGGCGGACGACTCCTCCTCGGATGGACGATTGGGCGCGGCGGCGACTCCTCCGGATGGACGATTGGGCGCGGCGACTCCTCCGGATGGACGATTGGGCGCGGCGGACGACGACTCCTCCTGATGGACGATTGGGCGCGGCGACGACTCCTCTGGATGGATGATTGGGTGCCATTCTTCCTCTGGATGATTGGGGGCGGCGACTCCTCTGGATGGACGATTGGGGGCGGCGACTCCTCTGGATGGACGATTGGGGGCGGCGACTCCTCTGGATGGACGATTGGGGGCGACTCCTCTCTGGATGGACGATTGGGGGTGGCGACTCCTCCGCTCTGGATGGATGGACGATTGGGGCCGACTCCTGCTCTGGATGGACGATTGGGGGCGACTCCTCCTCTGGATGGACGATTTTGGGGGCGACTCCTCCCTCTGGATGGACGATTGGGGGCGGTGACCTCCCTCTGGATGGACGATTGGGGGGCGACTCCTCCTCCCGATCTGGATGGACGATGGGGGGCGGCGGCGGCGACCCATCCTCTGGATGGACGATTGGGGCGGCGGCCACTCCTCCCTCTCTGGATGGACGATGGGGGGCGGCGGCCACCCATCCTCTGGATGGACGATGGGGGGGGCGGCCCACCCATCCTCTGGATGGACGATGGGGGGCGGCGGCCACCCATCCTCTGGATGGACGATGGGGGCGGCGGCCACCCATCCTCTGGATGGACGATGGGGGGGCGGCGGCCACCCATCCTCTGGATGGACGATGGGGGGCGGCGGCCACCCATCCTCTGGATGGACGATGGGGGGCGGCGGCGGCGACCATCCTCTCTGATGGACGATGGGGGCGGCGGCGGCGACCCCTCCTCTGGATGGACGATTGGGGCGGCGGCGGGGGCGACCCCTCCTCTGGATGGACGATGGGGGGCGGCGGCGGCGACCCCCCTCTGGATGGACGATTGGGGGGCGGCGACCCTCCTCTAGATGGATGATTGGGCGCGGCGGTGGCTCCTCTGGATGGATGATTGGGCGGATGATTGGGCGGGCTAATCTGGATGGATGATTGGGTGCGATTCTTCCGATGATGATTGGGGGCGCGACTCCTCTGGATGGACGCTTGGGGGACGACTCCTCTGGATGGTTTATTCGGGGCGACGGCGGCGGCTCCTCATGAATGGATGATTGGGCGTGGCGACTCCCTCTCTGATTGGACGACCTGTATCGGATCTATCACAGCGGCTCTCCATTCAAAACAGATGAGTATCTGATTGTACGATTGTTGGCCGACTCACCCTAGATTTTCTGGCTCCGCCCACTCATGCCCCTCCCCCATCCTCTGTCATCATTTTATATTATCATATGGAACGTAGCAGGATGAGTGAGATTTGGGGGGGGGGGGAATCCTTTACAGGGTCCCCGAGAGGTAAAGGAAGCCAGTAATTGGCTGAGCCCACCATCATCCACCAATCTCGGCCGCTCCAGTTCTAGATGGAGGGATGTTTATAAATGATCTCATGCCGGGGGGGCCGTGTGGTGTGTGGGAGGAGTTGAAACGGGGGGCGGGGTTTGACAACCAATTGTCCCCTTTTGTGACCAATGACTTCCTCTCCACAGGTACGCCACAGGAAATGACATCACAGAGCATTCCGTACTCATCCACGAGTATTACAGCCGGGAGGCCACCAACCCCGTCCACCTGACTTTGGACACCAGCATGCAGGGGAGCCGCATGAACATCAAGGCCTACATCAGGTAATGGGGGGAGGGGGGCGCTCATACTCCTAATATCCCCCATCCAATGATGTCATCACTGGGTCTCTGTGCTTGTCACGGTACCCAATGATGTCATCGCTGGGTCTCTGTGCTTCTCAGAGCCCCTCAATGATGTCATCACTGGGTCTCTGTGCTTCTCAGAGCCCCTCAATGATGTCATCACTGGGTCTCTGTGCTTGTCACAGCCTCCAATGATGTCATCGCTGGGTCTCTGTGCTTCTCAGGGCCCCCCAATGATGTCATCACTGGGTCTCTGTGTTTCTCACAGCCTGTGGAAGGGGCTAACAGGAAGCTGTACATAATATAAAAAAAAAGTGTTTTTTTTTTGTTATAAAAAAGTTTTTTATATATAAATTTTTTTTAAATATTGAATTATGGTGTTTATTGTATATTTATTATTGTTTGTTTTTAAAGATTGTATGTTTTATTGTTTTTTATTTTATATTTAAATTTTTTTTTTAATTGTTTTATTATTTTATACATTTTTAATGTTTTTTTTTTTTTTTTTCCCCCTCTGCAGCACTCCGATGGGTGTTCCCGGCAAAACGATGGGGGTGATGTTCACCCCACTGACTGTGCAATACATCTACTATGACACGGAGAGGATTGGAGGTGAGACAATCCCTTCCCTCTGACAGGACGTTGCTCATCAATCTCCCCATCATTGGTGTCAGTGGGAGGAATAGTGCCCCATCATTGGTGTCAGTGGGAGGAATAGTGCCCATCATTGGTATCAGTGGGAGGAATAGTGCCCCATCATTGGTGTCAGTGGGAGGAATAGTGCCCCATCATTGGTGTGAGTGGGGAATAGTGCCCCATTATTGGTGTCAGTGGGAGGAATAGTGCCCCATTATTGGTGTCAGTGGGAGGAATAGTGCCCCATCATTGGTGTCAGTGGGAGGAATAGTGCCCCATCATTGGTGTGAGTGGGAGGAATAGTGCCCCATCATTGGTGTCAGTGGGAGGAATAGTGCCCCATCATTGGTGTCAGTGGGAGGAATAGTGCCCCATTATTGATGTCACTGGGAGGAATAGTGCCCCATCATTGGTATCAGTGGGAGGAATAGTGCCCCATCATTGGTGTGAGTGGGAGGAATAGTGCCCCATCATTGGTGTGAGTGGGAGGAATAGTGCCCCATCATTGGTGTGAGTGGGAGGAATAGTCCCCCATCATTGGTGTCAGTGGGAGGAATAGTGCCCCATCATTGGTGTCAGTGGGAGGAATAGTGCCCCGTCATTGGTGTCAGTGGGAGGAATAGTGCCCCGTCATTGGTGTCAGTGGGAGGAATAGTGCCCCATCATTGGTGTCAGTGGGAGGAATAGTGCCCCGTCATTGGTGTCAGTGGGAGGAATAGTGCCCCGTCATTGGTGTCAGTGGGAGGAATAGTGCCCCGTCATTGGTGTCAGTGGGAGGAATAGTGCCCCATCATTGGTGTCAGTGGGAGGAATAGTGCCCCATCATTGGTGTCAGTGGGAGGAATAGTGCCCCATCATTGGTGTCAGTGGGAGGAATAGTGCCCCATCATTGGTGTCAGTGGGAGGAATAGTGCCCCATCATTGGTGTCAGTGGGAGGAATAGTGCCCCATCATTGGTGTCAGTGGGAGGAATAGTGCCCCATCATTGGTATCAGTGGGAGGAATAGTGCCCCATCATTGGTGTCAGTGGGAGGAATAGTGCCCCATCATTGGTGTCAGTGGGAGGAATAGTGCCCCATCATTGGTATCAGTGGGAGGAATAGTGCCCCATCATTGGTGTCAGTGGGAGGAATAGTGCCTCATCATTGGTGTCAGTGGGAGGAATAGTGTCCCCATCATTGGTGTCAGTGGGAGGAATAGTGCCCCATCATTGGTGTCAGTGGGGGAATAGTGCCCCATCATTGGTGTCAGTGGGGGAATAGTGCCCCATCATTGGTGTCAGTGGGAGGAATAGTGCCCCATCATTGGTGTCAGTGGGGGGAATACAATGATGGGACAATACAAAGGCTTTATTATCCCTCTATGAATGTTCTTCTTCTCTTTTCATTTCAGTTGATCTGATTAACAAAACTTGCTTCAACTCCAACCGCTCCATCGGCCTGACCACCGACCTGCAGCAAGTGGGATCCGCGGCCAGCCCGCCTGCTGGAATCTCTGGCCACCGTGCTGCAGTACGCCGAAGATGTGCTGGTGGGTACCTATCCCTGCCCCTCCCCCACCCCTCCTATTCCTGCCCCTCCCCCACCCCTCCTATTCCTGCCCCTCCCCCCACCCCTCCTATCCCTGCCCCTCCCCCACTCCTATCCATTGCTTTACTATTTGCAAGATGTGCTGGTTGGTATCCAACTGGACCCACCACCAAGCTCCAGCACCACCTTCCCCTACTCAGATCTATGGTGTCACTTGCCAGTTGGTGTTGGGTGGCCTTCCCCTTCATTGGGCCCCCACCCTTCTCGTGTGAAGCGGTTCTTTCCAGTTCCATATTTTCCGGTGTACTTAACCTGATTGCGCTTTTTTTTTAATATTCCAGTCCGGAAAAGTCTCAGCGGACAACACGGTGGGAAGGTTCCTGATGGACCTGGTGACCCAAGTTCCCAAGATCGGCCCGGAGGACTTTGAGGCCATGCTCAACAGCAACATCAATGTAAGTCTGACCGAGTGACCGGGGCTGGTCCTTCTAGTGGGGGGGGAAGTCCCTTAACTCCTCCCCCTCCGGAGGATTTCCCCCCCCCCCCTTCCTAATCAGGCCATGTTTTTGTGTTACAAACTCTGCGTTACTTTAACTGACAATTGCGCGGTCATGCAACACTGCTCCCAGATTAAATTTACATCCTTTTTTTTTTTTTTTTTTTCCCATGAATGGAGCCTTCTTTCGGTGGTATTTTATCGCCTGTGCGTTTGCAAAAAAAAAATTACCAATTTTGAGAAAAAAAACAATATTTTTGCTATTAAACATGTCAAGGAAAAAATCACGTAGCAAAAACAAATACATTTCATTACTATATATATATATATATGAATTAAATATAATAATTTTTTTTTTTTTTTACACAAACATGGTGGTATTTGATTTGATCGCCAGTTTTTTTTTTTTTTTTTGTTACTAAAAAAAGTGTGATTTAGATTTTTTATAAAACCTATCCATTAAAAAAAAAAATCATCAAATTCAGACCAAAATGCATGTCCTTTGGTGTATATGTGTGTGTATAAAATATAATTAATATAAATATATATATATTTATAATAATTATTCCCAATAAGTGAATATTAAATGGTTTTTGAAACAATTTATGGCACCTACAAACTATTTTGTATATACTGGAATTTTTTTTTTTTTGTTTTTTTTATTCTTCTGGTGGAGATTAGTGACTACAGTGGGACTGCGCAGTGGGCAATCTGACACGAACTGACTAACTGCCCCCGACATCACTAGTGGCACTAATACAGTGATCATTAATAATACTGCACTGTCACTGTACTAATGACTCCAGCTGGGAAGGGGTTAACCTCTTGGGGTAATCAAGGGGTTAGGTGTGTATCTAACACGTGTGTAATGTGTGCTGCTTTCTACTAAAAAAAAAAAAAAAAATCTTTATGTTTCTGCTCCCTGCAAAGCAGGGAAATGAAACACAGATCTGTTTGCTCCTGTATAGAGCCCTGTGTTGATTGTCAACACAGAGCTCTGGGCTGTGATTGGACGCAGCTGATCAGCAGGTCCGTGCAAGGAATCATTGGCTGGACCTGCTGACAAAATCTAACTCTAATCACGGCAAAAGTCAGTGGGGGGGGTTTTATCTGCAAGAGGCCAGTGAGGTACAGGCCGCCCGCCCACAGTACTTGGTGGGTGGTCCTTTGGGTGGTTAATGGGACTCCATCATTGACTTTTTGAGTACCAAGTGAAGGGCCGACAGGAGCCCTGCTGAAGACCAACACCCACTGCATGGTGATACCAGCCTGGAGGCCAGATTGGGCGAGAAGATGAGCTTGTGCATAGGGCAGCAGTTAGGTCAACCTGTGGCCCCCAGCTGTTGCAGAACTACAAGTCCCATCATGCCCTGCGGGCTGGTGGTCCTTTAGGTGGTTAATGGGACTCCATCATTGACTTTTTGAGTACCAAGTGAAGGGCCGACAGGAGCCCTGCTGAAGACCAACACCCACTGCATGGTGATACCAGCCTGGAGGCCAGATTGGGCGAGAAGATGAGCTTGTGCATAGGGCAGCAGTTAGGTCAACCTGTGGCCCCCCAGCTGTTGCAGAACTACAAGTCCCATCATGCCCTGCGGGCTGGTGGTCCTTTTGGTGGTTAATGGGACTCCACCATTGACTTTTTGAGTACCAAGTGAATGGGGCTGATGGGAGCCCTGCTGAAGACCAACACCCACTGCATGGTGTTACCAGCCTGGAGGCCAAGTCTGGCTAGAAGATGAGTCTGTGCACAGGTCAAGCTGTGGCCCTCCAGCTTTTGAAGAACTACAAGTCCCATCATGCCTTTGCCAATGGGAATCATGCTTGTAACAGTCAGCCTTGTGGGATTTGTAGTTCTGCAACACCTAGAGGGCCACAGGTTGAGTACCCATGAGTTAGGTGAACTGTATTTTGCCGACATCAGGGCAGGATCACAGGTTCTCTTTTTATTTTCAGTTCAGCTGGCTGTATAGTAAGTCGATTTATGTCGTTCTCTAACGGTCGTGTCTCTTTCCTTCCCCCACAGGACCTGCTCATGGTCACTTACCTGGCCAACCTCACCCAGTCCCAGATCGCTCTCAATGAGAAGCTGCTTAACTTGTGAGGAGGACCCTCCCTGGCATCCTGGACAACATGGACCACGTCACCCACGTGTGGAGGTGACACCCCCTCTGTCGCCGAGTGGATTTATATCGGCTGAAAGTTACAATTCCATTAAAAAAAATAAAAAAAAAATGTAAAGATTTAAGTTTGGTTAGAGATGTCTATTTATTTTATGGACTTTTCTGAAATAAAGTATTGACTTTCCCTCACACCGGCGCCGCTTGTTTCAGAAATGGAAGGATTTTCGGGGTAGATATAAAACATTTTTTTATTTATTATGGCTAAACAGAAACAATATTTTGCTAATCTGACACCAAACATGAAAAGATAAAAGAAAGCCTGTAGGTGCAAACTTACAACATTCCTCAAGAAAAGCTCAAGAAGTCCTTGTTTATAGGTTGCTCCTTAGTGGAGAACATCAGAAGAACAATTGGTCAATCTCTTACGGGAACGAAAATGCCCTCAGATATGGATGGATCCAACCGGAGATGGTGGGTGAAAAGGTCATCAAAGAACTTTTATTGATGGTAAAAATCAGGACGCAAACACATTATACAGGTGTGCCCTCTCTTCATCGGGCCACAGCAGGATAGCTGCCATAATCATTTTGCCACCATGGTCCTACTGAAGACGTTGGGTTGGTTTTGTACTACTAGTAAAAGTTCTATTATTACACTTTCCCCATAAGAACCTTCCATCTCTGTTTAGAATCCATATCTGTCACGTTCTGGGCAAAGCCTTTCCCATAATGGATTGTGGACTTGTTCTTCAATATAAAAATAATAACCTTTTCCTGTTCACTGAAAATCAAGGAATTTGTATTGCCAAAAGCCTCCAACAATGGTTTGGTCTAGAAGACATTTGAAGAATGTTTGAGCTCAATATAGCTTCTATTTAGATGTCAAAGGCTAAGAAGAGGTTTTCGTGGAGATGTCTGGTATCGGAGCTTAGTGCTTTGTATGATGATGGCCAACAATGAGCAGGAGATACCTTTGCAATTATGGTGGAGGTCAACTTAGCCTTGACCACCGTTTGTTCCTTGGTAAAGAGGCTTTTATGAAGATCTTTGATGTTAAAGCTCGGGCCCTTGGAAATGATGGTCATTAATAAACAAGAGATACTTTTGCAGTTATGGTGGAGGTCAACTCAGCCTTGACCACTGTTTGTACAAAGGACTGAGCTCTACCATCAGACATCCTCATGACAACCTCCTTTACATGACAAACAAGGATCCTTTTGACTTCTTTACCAAGGAACAAACAAGGACCATTACAAACAAAGGCCATTAATGGAAAGGAGATACCTTTGCAATGATGGTGGAGGCCAACCCAGCATTGATCATCATATGGTCCTTTGTAAAGAAGAAGAGGTTCTTGTGTAGATGTTTGATGTCAAAGCTCAGGCCTTTGTAAATTATGGCCATTAATAAACAGGAGATACCTTTGCAATTATGGTGGAGGTCAACTCAGCCTTGACCACCGTTTGTTCCTTGGTAAAGAAGAGGCTTTTATGAAGATCTTTGATGTTAAAGCTCGGGCCCTTGGAAATGATGGTCATTAATAAACAGGAGATGCTTTTGCAATTATGGTGGAGGTCAGCTCAGCCTTGACCACCGTTTGTTTCTTGGTAAAGAAGAAAAGGTTCTCATGAGGATGCCTGATGGTGGAGCTCAGTCCTTTGTACAAACAAGGGCCACTAATGGAAAGGAGATACCTTTGCAATTATGGTGGAGGCCAACCCAGCCTTGATTATCATATGGTCCTTTGACATCAAACATCTTCATAAGAGCCTCTTTCTTCTTTACAAAGGCCCATATGATGATCAAGGCTGGGTTGGCCTCCACCATAATTGCAAAGGTATCTCCTTTCCATTAGTGGCCCTTGTTTGTACAAAGGACTGAGCTCCACCATCAGGCATCCTCATGAGACCCTTTTCTTTACCAAGGAACAAACGGTGGTCAAGGCTGAGTTGACCTCCACCATAATTGGAAATGATGTTCATTAATAAACAGGAGATACTTTTGCAATTATGGTGGAGGTCAACTCAGCCTTGACCACCGTTTGTTCCTTGGTAAATAAGAAAAGGTTCTCATGAGGATGCCTGATGGTGGAGCTCAGTCCTTTGTCCAAACAAGGGCCATTAATGGAAAGGAGATACCTTTGCAATGATGGTGGAGGCCAACCCAGCCTTGATCATTTGGTCCTTTGTAAAGAAGAGGTTCTTGTGTAGATGTTTGATGTCAAAGCTCAGACCTTTTTAATGATGGCCATTAATGAACAGGAGATACCTTTGCAATTATGGTGGAGGTCAACTCAGCCTTGACCACCGTTTGTTTTTTGGAAAAGAAGAAAAGGTTCTCATGAGGATGCCTGATGGTGGAGTTCAGTCCTTTGTACAAACAAGGGCTATTAATGGAAAGAAGATACCTTTGCAATTATGGTGGAGGCCAACCCAGCCTTGATCATCATATGGTCCTTTGTAAAGAAGAAGAGGCTTTTTATGAAGATGTTTGACGTCAAAGCTCAGGCCCTTGGAAATGATGGCCATTAATGAACAGGAGATACCGTTGCAATTATGGAGGAGGTCAACATAGTCTTGACCACTGTTTGGTCCTTGGTAAAGAAGAAGAGGATCTCATGGGGGTGCCTGATGTCAAAACTCAGTCCTTTGTACATATATTGGCCAATAAAGGAGATGCTTTTGTAATTGTGGTAGAGGTCAACTCAGTCTTCACCACTGTTTGGTCCTTGGTGAAGAACAGGTTGTTATGAAAATGTATGCAAATCAATTTGGATTCTACTCGGTCTTGCAGCTGTTTGAAAGCAAAGCTCATATCAATGTGGCTTTTGCATAGTCATGGATGAACACACATAGGATCTCACAAGGATGTGAGGGCTTGTCCCAGTGGGTTCTGTTGTTGCTTTGATGGACCCTGACCCTGGTTGTGTTTGGAGCCTGGTGTTTGTTGCTTCTTTCAGGTTTCCATACTCAGTACGTTCCTGAAAATTCACCCCCCGAAGGAGACAGAAGAAAGGAGATGTCCCATTATACTTGAAGTCAGCAAAATCATTAACACTTATGGCCACCTTGTTCCCTCTACTCTACGCAACTCCTCCTCCTCCTCCTCTTTCCATCTCTTCCCCTCTCCTCTCACTTCCGCTTCTTCGCTACTTCCCCCACTATACACCCCCTGCCACCTTTCTTCCTCTTCTCACCCTCTCTTCATCTCTCCTTCTTTCATGAACCCCCCTCCCCCGCTCTGCCATCTACACCTTTCTTCTTCCCATCTCTTTCCCTTTCCCTTGTCTTCTCTCACTTCCCCTTCTTCATGCCCCTCTTTCACCCACTTCCCTTACTCTACACCCGCCCTTTCCTCCTCCCCTCCATTCCCAATCTCTCTTCATTGCTCCTTTTCTTACTTCCCCTCCCCCATCTCTGTCCTCTTCTTTAAACCATTTCCCCTACTCTATACTCTTCTTCCCTTTCCTCTCCTCTTTTTTCACTTCCCCCTCTTCTTTTCTCACTTCCCCCTCTCCTCTGCTGCCTCTCTCATCCACTCGTCTCAGTCTTTACGCACCTTCTCTGTCCACACTCTCACTCACTTCCCCCTCTCCTTCTCTGTCCACACTCACTTCCCCCTCTCCTTCTCTGTCCACACTTTTCTTCCCCCTCTCCTTTTCTGTCCACACTCACTTCCCCCTCTCCTTCTCTGTCCACACACTCACTTCCCCCTCTCCTTCTCTGTCCACACCCCCTCTCACTTTCCCCCTCTCCTCTCTGTCCCTCTCCTTCTCTGTCCACACACTCACTTCCCCCTCTCCTTCTCTGTCACACTCACTTCCCCCTCTTCTCTGTCCTCCTTCCCCCTCTCCTCTGTCCACACTCACTTCCCCCTCTCTTCCCCCTCTCCTCTTTCTCTGTCCACACTCACTTCCCCCCCCCTCTCTCCTTCCCCCTCTCTGTCCACACACTCACTTCCCCCCACACTCTCACTTCCCCCTCTTTCTCTGTCCACACTCACTTCCCCCTCTCCTTCTCTTCTCCCACACTCACTTCCCCCTCTCCTTCTCTGTCCACACTCACTTCCCCCCTCTCCTTCTCTGTCCACACACTCACTTCCCCCTCTCTCCTTCTCTGTCCCACACTCTCACTTCCCCCTCTCCTTCTCTGTCCACACTCACTTCCCCCCCCTCTCCTTCCACACTGTCCCCCTCTCCTTCTCTGTCCACCCTCACTTCCCCCTCTCCTTCTCTGTCCACACACTCACTTCCCCCTCTCCTTCTCTGTCCACACTCTCACTTCCCCCTCTACTTCTCTGTCCACACTCACTTCCCCCTGCTCTTCTCTGCCCACACTCTCACACTTCCCCCTCTCCTTCTCTGTCCACACTCTCACTTCCCCCTTCTCCTTCTCTGTCCACTCTCACTCACTTTTTCCTTTTGACCTATTCCCCCCTTTCCTTCCTCTGAGCCTCCCCTTCTACTTTCTCCCCCCCCCCGATTCTTTCATTCTCAACAACTAAAATGCAATAACTGGATGTAAATCAAAAACCGGTTCCTTACATACCTGAAGCTCCAGGTGTATATATTTAATTGGCGGGACCTGAAATGTGAATCATTGTTAAAACAATATTTATATATATATTTATTCAAACAGTTTCATTACTGGGGAACCAATCCCGTCACCTTTCCTATAATTGGCCCCAGACTGGCCCTTTTTCCTTTACTTTTCCTTTCTTTTTTCCTTTCCTGTCCTCCCCCAGCCTCTTTACCTTCCTCTCTCTTTCTTCTACATCTTCATGTGTACTTTTATCTTTTTGTTTCTTTCCTTCCTTTTAGCGCTCCCTTCCCTTCCTCCCTATCCATGGTTTTCCCCTTCCCAAACCTCTATACCACTCCTCTCTCTACATTTTCCTGTGTTCTTTTATCTTTCCTTCCTTCCTGTTCTTTCCTTCTATTATTTCTTCTCTTCCTTCTTTTTCTTTTATTCATTCTTTTGTAT